TCAGAATTCTGACTTTTTTCCCATGTTAAACTGAAATAAAATTTAAAAATCAGTTTACTTTTTTTTTTTTTAGTGGCCCTAATCCTCTACTGTATCTTTGTACTGAATTGTGCTATACAGGTAAATTTGCCTTGCCTTGCCCTGCCCTGCCTTGGAGGATAATTAAAATCCTGCTTAAAGTCATACACCCTTTATTAGTCATATGCAGTGCTGGGCTTTCCTTAGACTTAAAAAAAACTACTTTTAGCTTGTTTTAATCATTCAGACACCATATTGCTTTGATTACCAAAATGTGCTTAAGGTTACAAACAAATCTTCAGCGCTGTCTTTTAAAGGTCAGTTACGTTGTTAGGATCACAAAGTGAAATCATGACTTCTTGTTAAAAAGACAACCAAAACAACAGTTTTATTGGGTTAAAGAGATTTCACGCTGAAAAGCAAACCTGCACCGCTCTGCCTGTTTGATGAAAGTGCACATGTGTTTAATTTAGTCTCGAAACCTTATAGTTTCACTGTGTGACTTACCATCACGTACAAAGCTCCTCTTCCTTCTTTCCTTTCAGTTTCTCAGTCTCAGAACACAAAGTGCATTAAATGACCGCTCATTGTGAGAACAGAGGAAATGAGCCATCTTTAAAGTAAACCACAGAGGTTCCTCAGCTTTTAAAACCAAGATTTTCCCTTGCAATGCTTCAATCAAGAATCCTTTACATCAAGGGTAAGTAGCATTCCGTTTAAAAAATGGAAATACAATGAAAAGCAATATTAAATGTGATCGATCAGACCTGAATATTTCTTTTTTTTATTATATTGTGTTGAAAACTGTAGCATTTGCTTTATTTTAAAACTTTATAAGACATCATCTTACTTTCTTCTGTGCAAATACGTCCTCATCCAGCCAAGCTGGAATATTTCAGTTTTTGCACCCTGATGTGAATCTGCCCTCTCCTCATTTGCTGTATTAGCAGGGTGCACTGCAAAGTCTCAGACTGAAGACAGCAAGACTTATCTTAGTCACGCAGCTTCTGGCTGAGCCATCTGACTGCTGGTTTATCTGCTCCAACACAAAGCCTCTCACCCGGATAGTGTCACTTTGGCTCCTCTCCTGCTGACTCCTGACTCCACTCTCTTCTAAAGGAGCTGCTGGAAGAACCAAGTCATGGAGGAGACGACAGCTACTGACCAGTAAGTGTTCCATGTTGTCAGATCACTTAATACTGTTGTCAGCGTTCAAGACAATTAAGGGCAACTTTTCCTTTGTTTAAGGTAACTTTTTATAGATTTTATACATCAGTGCAGGGCCACTGGAAGCAATATTGAATGGGGTGCTGTGAAATTTTATTTGCTTTTTTTTTTTTTGGACAAAAAACCTCTGAGCCTATAGGCCTATTTGTAATACAGTAAATAAAATCAAAATAGATAGACATTTACTACTTTAGTGTCATATTCACGTCAGGGCACTCAACCAGGGACTGTAACACACAGACATCACTAATCCCATTAATCATGAACTAGTTCTCAGGTGAATATATGCTCTATTAATTAAACTTCACTGCTATTTGAGGCGGTTGGACCTTCTCCTCACTCAGGCTGTTCTCTGTTGTACCGGTGTTCTTCTTCACTGGTGTTTTTGTTTTGTTTTTTTAAATCCGAAATGTATTTCTGTGCCGTATTTCCTTCTCGTTTCTCACATTAGACTATTGTAATTTTACTAGTCTACTGCTGCACGTGAGATACCTCTTCAATCGCCGATCACTAGCTTTCTTGACGTTGTCATGACAACGTAACTTCCAAGAACTTGTGTTGATTAGGCCTCAAAATAATTTAATTAAAATCCGAATACCCGTAATAGTAAAATAAAAAATGTCAAATTCATTTCCCAAAATATTCATAAGAAATTTATAAAAACTATATATATACACTATATATATTCATATAAAAAAAGTATTATTAATACATTTTTTTTTTATATTTTAAAAATGTCCCTCTTGCCTCTTAATTTCTGTGCTGTATTAACAAGGAACAGATTACTTTGTTAGGTTAGAACCATTTTGTGAAGAAAAAGTAACAGTTCCTGTTTGAAGCTGCCTTCTTTATTTATTCATTTTTTAGAGCAGAACTGGCGGTTTCCAATGTGTCACCGTTAATGAGCCAAGATGAGGAAGAGGAGGACTTAAGCATCCAAAACGATGATACCTCAAGGTCAGATAAAGTTCCTGTGACGATAGACCCAGTGCTAACTCAGCCTGGTCCGGCCATGGCTACAACCACCATCACCACCGTCACACAGATGGGGGGAGACTGGAGCACGGGGCTTCTTGATGTATGTGGAGACATGACAACATGTAAGTAATATACACCCACAAACTACACATAAGCACATTTTATTATCAGCATTGATTGAAAGCATATATATTCTACTGGTCAAGATTCTAAACTGGGATTAGCTTTTCTTGTTAATCTACCTTTAAAAGTTACCAAGGGGGATCAAATATAGTGATCAAATATTTTTTTTCCCAACAGGCATATGAAAGGCAGGGGTTTATATTTAAAATATGAGTGTGAAAAGTTACATGTATTGTGCAAATCAAAAGTCACTTTTAGTGCTGCACTGATGCCATTTTTTTGGCCCGATACCCGATACCTGGCTGTGCAGTATCGGCTGATACAGATACCATACCGGTACCATCTGTTTGAAATTGATGTGTGTGTGTATTTAAGAAGAACTGCATACTACTTGGATGTAAAATCTTTTGCCATTGTGGCTTTGTCAAGCTGCTGAAAGTGAATCCAGTAGAACTTTTATTGCCTACCTGTAATGGGTGACAATAGTTGAATAAACTTTTGGCTCTCAAAATGATGTCGGTGCCCTATTTTTCGGTAATCGGCTATACCGATATCACCTTTTTAGTGCTGGATCGGGCCCCAGTCCGATACTGGTATCGGTGCAACTCTAGTCATTTTACCTCATTGCCATGTCATCTTTCAACAACCTCCTGATTTTATGCTGCTGAGTGTCTTTTCATCAGGGACTTTAAGCTTCATTCATAAGTCTTTTTCTGTGTTTCTATTGTTTAAAATGGTCCTTATACACGTCATTTTTCTTCTCTTTTGAGTAAGCATAAAAAAAGAACAATTTTATGGGCCCATATGAGGCTGCAGCGAAATCTGTATCACTGGGAGGAACTCTAAGGTTATCTGTCAGTCAATATTACCTGCTTAATCACATTTCGAGAATTCTAAACTGGAACAAAAACTAGTGACTTTTCTTTTTTCATTTTACATATAAAAAGCCCCGTTCAGATCACAGTTCTGTTTAAGTACTCAGCCCCAAGCCCCTTCATTAAGGATCCCTCTTTCATGCCATACAGCTTCCACCAAGTTCCTGGGCTTCATGCGCTTTTAGCTCATCCTGCAGAATCAAAGGATTGGCCTCCAGCCGCAACATTTACCAACACAAGACATGTGTGGAGTTTCCCCATAACTCTGCCTCACGATCCTTTTGCTGGTGTACTGTCCAAATGCATAAATTTATTGAAAAACATGTATAGTCGGGATTTGGGTAGTGGGATAGAGGGATTTGTTCTTTATCTTTAAACCTCTATCTATATAGAGACCTTTTAGTTGATTCCAAGACAAAGAAAAACATGCTGACCACAGAAAAGAGGCATAATCTTAAAAGGCTTTTGACATAGTTAGCAAGTGGTTTGAGCATGAGAGGTCTAAGTTTTGCAAATTTACAAAACTTAGACTTTAGCATGCGTAGAAAGTGGATAAAGACCTTTTTGCTGTCAAAAAAGGATTCCCCCTAAATTGCTGGGAAGTACATATGGCTGTAGTTTTAAATGTATTTACTTAACACATTTCGTTCTGGTCCTCATTCACTGACAATATTTTGTGGTTTTATTAAAATTCTCATAGCACAATTATTCTTACACCTCTATTAAAATGTATTAGGATACTTATTGCAAGAACTATATGCGAATGCATTTTTGATTTAAATATGATTTACAGCGATTCATAGCAAATAAATATGAATGAACTGTTATTTATACATAAATTCATTCACACTGTAAAAGAAAACCTTTTCAACAGAGAAAAGCAACAATTCAATTTGCATTGCTTGTTCATCATTGGGCCTGTCTCCAACAGTCAGTTGGCAAAAGGCAGGGTACAGCCTGCTCAGGTTGCAAATCCATTCCTGAGATATATAACCATGAACACAATCATTTATACCTGGGAGCAATTGAGAGAAGCCAGGTAACCAAAGAAAAATGTTCTTTGACTGATGGAGGAAACCAGAGAGAACCAATTCATGCACAGGGAGAACATGCAAACTCCATGCAGAAAGACTTGAATTCAGGACCCTCTTGCTGCAAGGCAGAAGTGCTACAAATGGTGCAGCCAGGAAGCTCATATACCAATTTTGATTTCCCTAATTTTAAAAGAAATGGAAGTGAATTTAGTTGCATATGAATTGGGTTTTAGTTACAATTTAATTTTTTCTTTGCTTCAAATTACCTTTCATCCTTTATCGGTTCGTTGGTCTCACACACCTTTTTAAATGAGTGATTTGTGCCTCAAGTAAAACAACAAACTAAAATGCAAAATTTTACTGCCACCTTATATTCTTCCAGGTATTCTTGGAGCACTGGTGCCATGCTTCTTAGACCTGAGTTTAGCCCACCAGTATGGGGAGTGTCTGTGTCTGTCCCTCCTACCAGGATCCACTTTTGCCCTCAGGGTTGGAATTAGGGAGCGTTACAAAATACGAGTGAGTGAAAAACACATTACTATGTTTTTTTCTTTTGAACAAACCAAAGTTTACCATTTTAAAATAATCATTTTAAAGACAATAGTTTACTATTATTAGATATATATCTGATTTCATATCCAATATCATCATGTCCAAACTAAGATGTGCATTGGAACATTTGTATTCTTATATGTATTGCACCTGTAGTTACAGATTTGCTTTTTATGTGTTTCTCCTGCATCATTTTGTACGTCTTTCTGCCTTTGTTCTATTTCTGCCCCTTGCTGTCCTGCATGTTTACCCACAGGGAAGTGTGTGTGAGGACTGGAGTGCAGTGTGCTGCTGTTACCCTCTGGCTGTATGTCAGATGATAAGAGAGATGAAGCACAGGATGAAGACCCAGACATATCATGTGTCTACAGCAGTAGAGTCCTTGTGATGAAACAGTTGACTGTAACCTTGTCCTTTGCATGACATTTCAACATGGATCAGCTAATATAACAGAGATTAGCATAAGTCTATAGTAGCAAATGACTTGAACCTTTGAAACATTCTATATTATCCAACACAATGTCCAGATTTCATTCTTTTATATAAAAACCCCAAATATTTCAACAGCTGTTTGAGTAAAGTATATCATTAATAATATACCATTACTTTTATAATTTAAATAATATTGTGGCAACATCTGAAATCAGATGAAAAGCAGGTGTGAAGATAAAGCGTTTTTTTTTTCTTTTCTTTTAAACTTCCATCAGACATCAGAAAAGCTCTAAACATGTCGTGCAAAATTAAACTTAACACACAGACAAATAGAACAGGTAGGTGACTGCCCTACAAAGACATGCCTCTGTTACTGTGTTTGTCATCTTAGCTGAAATTTTCACCCATTTTTCAATAAATTATTTCACTTCACTCATTACTTTTGTACTGGACTAGGATTATGCCTTTAAACCTCTATATAACACATGTAAAATACAATTTAAATGCTTAAAAATGTGCTTATTTAATTTGGTCATTGTTGAACTTTCGCTAGCACATAACAATGGTTTCTAAAAGCTGTTTCTTTAATTAATTTTTCTTTTTTTAGTCCCTGATGAATGAAAATGACAGTCTTTATTTTTGCATGCCGTCTAGTTTGCCAGAAAGTCAGAAGTGCTCCAGCTTGAGAATTTAGATCATTATCGTAGCGCAGGGTTGCTCAGTTAGGGTCCTCGAGGTCCTGTGTCCTGCACCTTTTAGACGTGTCTCTGCTTTCACACACCTGAATCACATCGCTTAATTACCTCCTCAGTATGCTTTCAAGTTCCCCAGAGTCCTGCTGGTGACCTGATCATTTGACTCGGGTGTGTTGAAGCTGGGACACATGTAAAAGATTCAGGACACCGCATGTTGAGGACTGGAACATAGGAGCCCTGTCCTCGAGTCTTATTTAAAACATAAAGATTTATCACATTGATCCTACTTAGAACACTATTAAATATGTCTCCAAAATGTTAGCTGATGGGAAATATTTTTAAAATTAATGGTGTAATTTTCCCATTTTGTTAATATAAACATGCATTTATGTGAAAAGACAAGTCGTCATAGGTGTTAAAATGAAATGACTGAAATACTCAAACAGGAAGTGCTTTTATCCTGAAGGGCCAGAAGTGACTTTGTAATGACAGCATTAGGTGATTTTTTTTTTTTTTTTTTTTTGTTCTGTGCAAGCTCAAAACTAGTTAGCAAAAAGTTAATTTGGGGGACATCTTGGTGGTCATTAATCTGATACTACAGCATTAGTCCATAGGATTTATCCCACTGTTAAAAATCAAGACTGTTGGAATTGTTGGTTACTCTAAAATGCCCTTAAGCATGATTCTGTTTGCATGGCTGTATGTCCTGTGTATCCCTGTGGTGGACGGTCGCTCTATGCACCCTGCCTCTCACCCATCAACCAAACTGGTGTCACATAGAGATAAGCACCAGGTCCTATCTAGATGGATCCATAATCCATGGAGATCCCTGGTGAATAAATCAAACAAACTTTATTTTTCACAGGAAATAGGCAGATTTGTGTCAGAGCTGTAGTTGCAGCTTATCTATTGTAAATTTTGTTTGATAGTAGCATTTGTCAAAAAAAATAACTTAAAAGCTGCTGTTAACTCCTGTCCAACAACAAACACAAAGGGAATGTATCACTATGATGTCAGTCATGGTCACTCAGATGGGACCACTACTAATTATATGAGATAAACCAAGTCTGAAGGATTTTGTTTTTTAACTTGAGTGTTATGTGAGTTAAGGTTGCAGATTAAATTCTCCTTTCTGCGCATCCAAAAAGTGTTCAGTTTGTAGTGTTGTTACATCATTTAAAATGGAGGTGCATGCATGGGCAGCAAGGAATTTTATTTATTTTTTTGCCGCAAAAGATCAAATTTAACATATAATTTTTTATACTTTTTTTTTATTTAACCAGATGAGGTAGTATTTTTCTTTATCAAAATTTACTTCAGTATTTTATAAAAGATGTTAAGACCTCTGATTCACAATGGTTGTTAAGGTGTAGAATTGTCAAAGAAAATACTATATGACAAGATTAGAATAGAAAACTTGAAGTTTTTCCTTTTAACTTGTTTCATATCAGAGGGATAATGTATGGCTTAGCTAATTTGACTGTAGAAAATATATTACCTAATGTAATTAGTTTCAACGCCAATTGATAGCACAGCAGTGTAGCTTTGTTTTATTGCACTGGAAACACACACACATATATATGTATTTTTCTTATTTTTTATTTTATCAGAAATTTCATTTAATTTTTTTCATTATAATTTACAGCAATATTTAATTGCTATATATCACTAATCAAAAACATTAGAACCATCAGGATTAAGATCATCCAGGCTGATCGGCTTCTTAAGTCATTTTATTGTTTAACACAACCATCCTAATCATTATGTTACTTTAATAAACATGCTAATAAACATTTTTCTTTCAGAAAGTGGTTATAAGGTTAATTTGGTATGATATACTGTACTCAATGTCTAGTTTTGAAAGCAAAAAGGGTTTTGAGTTCAGATGGGTTTTAAGGAAATAAAACTCAGTAGACATAAAATAGATGTTGTTGACTTTTTTATTGCTCATTGTAACTCTGACCTAACTGAAGTAATTTATTTTAGTAAAATCAATAAATTGGGATTTCTTATCTTTTATTTGTCTGACACTTTTATTCTGTTCATTCAAGCAAAGGTCACCACAAAATATGTTTCATTCCCAATAAACTGCAGGAAAGTCAAGAGCAGATAATCTATCATGACAGGAACAGATTATATTTCTTAAATCAGTTTTAATGCCACGTTAAGGCCCAGTGATATTATACATTCAACTGCTGTTAGTTTTTGTTTGAAGAAGGCCTAATTACCATTGTAAGAGATTTAATTAATTGTGTTTGGTATTCAGAGCCTCATGTCTAGTTAACAGGCATTCCTTCCACAGCGTAGCTTCCAATACAAATAGTTTTGGATAAAAAAAACCTGTTCCCTGTTGTTCTCCTTAACGTGCATTCCTTGATTCACCCCGAGGCATTGAACCATTTTATTAATCCAGTCCTGATTGCTCTGCTTCCCTGAACCTGAAATGCCAACCACACTGAGCGGATATGAAAATGTTATTTATTCACAAAAGCAGATGAATCCTCAAAGGGCAAATATGTAATTTGTTAACTCTTGCAGAGACAGACTCCCACCTGGCAGCTTCCATGAAGGAAATAATAAAATAGCTATTATGGTAATATTTGGTATTGTGTTTTGTGGAAAGTTATTGTAGATTTTTATCAAATGAAATGTAAAAGTTTTATTTTATTTTTTTTCATCTGGTTAGGTTCCAAGAAGCATACACTGTAATTATAGATGAATGTATCTAAGCAAGGAGACAGAACAAAGATCTTTGATCAGAGACAGGGAAGCCTGTTTGTTAAATTGCACATTATGGAATTGGAGAGGGTTTTCTGACATGCCCAACAGGACCCTCCACACTTTGGCAAATGAAAAGAAATAACAGTGATATACTTACTAATATGAAATAATACATAAAGGGATAATGGTGAGAATGACTAAGGAGGTTGTAATAAATAATTTGCTCTTTTTTAAAATACATTTGAATTTCAGATAATTAAATAATGTGAAAGCACGGGTGTTCCGTTTAGATGCTTCGTTTGAGGTTAACGCATATTACAAAGGACAGAAGTCAATTAGGATGATATAAATGGCTTTTCAGAAGGAGGTAAGAGGAGGATGGTGGAGTAAAAAAAGATTGTAAAGATGGGGAGGATAAGAGGAAACAAAGGAGAACAGTTTTGATGGAGATTAATGAGATACAAAAGCTTTAAAAGGCTTCACTCCTAATTTAAATATGAAGAGTATAGCACTACTGCAAACAAACCTTTATTTCCATATTATTCCAAAAAAATGGATTTAGTACAGCCATACAGGATTATCAATACCTTCATTAAAAAGATTAAATATATAATGAACATCTACCTCTTTCAAAGCAGTTTTTAACGTGTTTTGTGGCATGTATGGTTCCTTTATAAATGTTAAAAGTTGCCGTATATGCTACCACAAACTGCATAACTGATGTTTTTTTTTTTGTATCAGTTACAAACAGAGGGCTCCAGCTGCAAAGATACTTTAATATGATTTTACTTTAAGAAGATAACATCTATATTCATCAGTCTCAAGATCAGTATTCCTCTTTGACTGACCACTTTTAGATATCATCCAACAGATAAGGGACATCTCGATGGGGATATAATCGCTGTTTATCACAAAGCTTCACCAAGGATTACTTAGAATACGTTCTGTCCCCCTCTGGTTAGAGAGCAGAAGATAGTAATCCTGGAGAGGGCACAAAATTGCTCATTTGAAGCTAAAACTTTTACTCTGGGTCCCTGAGCAGGACCCTTAACTCCCAGGATGCTCACTGCGCACCAAACAGATTGCCAGCCCACCACTTATTTGTCCTACAATTTCCACATTGTGGGACAAATGAAACATTTCCTCTCCTGTCCCTTTCTAAAGTTAAGTGGTCTTGGTAGCATATGGTTTTAAATTCAACTTGGAATCTAATTTCCAGGAAGCTGTGTACTGCCTGGCCACATGGGGGAAACTAAATGATCTTGGAGTGGCTTACTAAAATGAACATTTTCCAGCTTTCCTGGGAATCTTTTAAGTAAAATATTAGTTTGTTCCTGTTTTGGTTAACTTTATAATAAATATTGACAGATTTACTTGTGTTTGAACTGTGATTCTGCAGATTTTATAACCCATATATGGTGAACTTTGTGCCAAATTATGCCAAGGCCATGAGTGAGTTAGAGGAAAAAATGGCAGCAGGAGAACACAATATAAAAGCCTGTTCTTTTTTTTTTTTTTTTTTAACAGAAGAGGAAAAACAGAAAAAAGGAGAAAAGATGAAAGATAAATAACACCTAGATACTATCGCTGAAGTAGTATTATTTAATCAGACATTATTAGACTAAAAGCCTATTCTGAAAATAAAATTTAGAAACTCATCAAAGCATATTCTTTCTCTCTTGAACCTCCTTGGAGATGCTACTGATCTCACTACATTTCTTCTGCCTAACCCCTTTTCCTTTTAAATTGGAGACAATACTTGTTTGTGATGTAAATTTGCTGAATGGCTGCTGCTGAATTTAACTATAAATTTAAGGACATTTAATTTGCTTTTACCTTAGTTGTAATTTTTGTACTTCTTTCAGGAAGAAAACTTTTTTTTTTATCTGTACCATATTTACTTTGCTCTCCACAGCCTTACGTCATCTCTACCAGATATGCTATTGCATCTTGACCAGTAGGGGGCAATGTTGCCCTAAATCTATCTGCCGGCCCATCTTCTATACCTCAATGGCTCAGCAGGGTGGCATCAGTTTTAAGTGCTGATGTGAGGTCAGAGTTGGGATTTCCAAAGCAATAGCCAGGTCAAGATCTGGAACAGTGAAGCCCTTCCTCAGTCAGCAGTCAGACGGGTGTCATAAAATATCTCTGTGGATGTTCCTTCCTGCTGCTTCAGCATGAAGACAACTATCCCTACAGAGGCATCAGGTGTAGAGTACAAGCTGTTATCGACAACAGCCCCCGTGAGAGTTGAGTTTTGCGCGTGGGTGTGTGTGTGGGGGGATGTATCTTGCAGAGCTGTTTCTTGCTGTTGTGCTCATTAGAAACTGTTACTTGTACAGAGAGGCAACCACAAGATCAAGGCATTATTTGCCAAATAATACTGATTGTGCTCTCTCATATAAGAAACCATTTTAGCACATCAAACCTCCCACTTCCTTCTTTTCTCTATTTATGAATTCAACAAATTTAATCTCCACCATCTGGGTATATTATTTCTCCCTTTAAACCCTTATTCCTTCATTTCTGTCCCGTACTTCTTCCAAACTCTCTCTCTTCTTATATGCTTCTCTTCTTCCTGCCTGATGATGCTTCATCTTTGGAGGACAACAAGCGCCACCTGGGGTTTGCATAACAAAAACCCACACACTCCTCCCTGCAGTCTCTTGCCATATCTACTGTACGTCTCTTCAAAACACATTTGTTTCATCTTTTTTCTTCGTTTGTTTTCCTCTGATATTATCTTTGTAGATGTTGTGCTTAGCTGCAGACAAAAGCAGAATTAGTTTGATTTGTATGTATGTGATAATTGGCACTCATTTCAACTTCTTATGTTAGCTGGTTCATTTAGTGTTTTCTTTTATTTACAGACAGAGGGGAAGAAATAATTTGAGACCAACATACACAAGAATTATAAAACTAAAAATTCTGTCTGCTTTTTGCCTTCTGGTCTCTGGTTTATGCTAAATTAATCCCTAAAATGTATTCCTTCACATAAAAGGAAATCTTTTTTTATCCATTACGCTGTACGTCATTTGAGGCTTTTGTTTTCAGAAAGCCTTCCAATATTAATTAAAATAAACAAATATGAGCCAAGTTTAAGAATTTGTCATGGATCTTTCTCCATTACATGAGCTAATTTTAGGAAAAATATACAGTTTGAAACATCAAAGCACTTAACAACGTATTGAGAAAAGGGGAGTTGTTTTTATCCATTGTTTCCAGGTGGTTGTTGGTTAAATCTCACAAGCTCAAAGCTTTTTATTTATATATTTCAAGTATTTTCCTTTTAAAGTTGTTTCATTACAACTTAAAGAAATTTGTTTATTTAAGGGGTGTCA